TTAGCAGAGCAGCAGAGACTCTGGCAGGTATAGAACCGACAGGGGAAACTAATTACCAAAGGCTTGACTATACAAGTAAGTTTTTAGCCTAGACTCAAAGACTGAGGCTGAGTCTCGAACATTAACAGGAAAACTCAGCAAAACATGTCAGGTTGACCTTTCTTTGTGTACAGCGGCACAGTCATGCTGGAATGGGAAAGGGTCTTTCCCAAACTGTTGAAACAAAGCTAGAGACATGTAAAAGTCTACCAGACTGAGGACAGTCGTGGGCTGGAGGTTAGGGAACCAGCCTTGTGACCGGAAGGCCGATGGTTCGATCCCCTGAGCCGACAGTACGTGACTGAAGCACCCTTGAGTAAAGCACCTAACTCCCAACTGCTCAAGGGTACTGTGGATAGGGCCATCCACCGCTCCGGGCTAGTGTGCTCACTGCCCCTAGTGTGTGTGTTCACTAGTGTGTATATGATGTTTCACTGCAGGGATTAGGTCAGAATGGAGAGGTGAAATTACCCCGTTGTGGGACTAAAAAGGGTAACTTAACAACCCAGTCCAAGGTCCTGAGAAACACTCTGAACATCAATGTTCTGTTGATTTTTTTAGTAAAACCTAAAAAAATCAACAGTAAACAAATCAATATTCATTTTTTTAGTGTTATTATAATGTTTGTTTTATTTTTTTGCTTCAATAAAATACTGTGCTCAGTTTAAGCCTGTTTGAAGCAGTTTTATTCCTCCATATGTGTAAGTGTATACATAAAGCATACACATTAATAAAGGCCACTTTCAACTTTGAGGTTAAATATTTTTTTGCTGTTAATTATTTCAGCTAATTAAGGTATTAAATTCTCAGGTCCACTCATGTCTGATTTTGGGTGGCTCAACTCTTCTGGGAAGGCTTTTCACAAAAAGAGAATTTGTGGGAAATTGTGCCCATTCAGTCAAACAAACATTCATGAGGTCAGGCACTGATGTTGGACAACGCCTGCCTCACAGCTGTCGTTTCAATTACTCTAAATGTTATATAATGGGGTTGATTTCAGGGCTCTGTGCTGAAATTTTTAAATAAAGTTTTTAATTGAAAAATTAAACTCTTGACAAATATTTTTCAACTTTCTTTTAAAAGAAATCAGAAAGATATTTTAAATAAAAACAACATTGATAAAAAAATGCAAGTATTATTTATGTAAGTTGAAATGTAGGAGTGTAAGATTTGGGACAGACACCTCTCAATAGAAAGTACCCTATAAACCTGTTTAAGCCTTTTTGAAGCAGTTTTATTCCTCCATATGTGTAAGTGTATACATAAAGCATACACATTAATAAAGGCCACTTTCAACTTTGAGGTTAAATATTTTTTGCTGTTAATTATTTCAGCTAATTAAGGTATTAAATTCTCAGGTCCACTCATGTCTGATTTTGGGTGGCTCAACTCTTCTGGGAAGGCTTTTCACAAAAAGAGAATTTGTGGGAAATTGTGCCCATTCAGTCAAACAAACATTCATGAGGTCAGGCACTGATGTTGGACAACGCCTGCCTCACAGCTGTTGTTTCAATTACTCTCAATGTTATATAATGGGGTTGATTTCAGGGCTCTGTGCTGAAATTTTTAAATAAAGTTTTTAATTGAAAAATTAAACTCTTGACAAATATTTTTCAACTTTCTTTTAAAAGAAATCAGAAAGATATTTTAAATAAAAACAACATTGATAAAAAAAAAAATTGTAAGTATTATTTATGTAAGTTGAAATGTAGGAGTGTAAGGTTTGGGACAGACACCTCTCAATAGAAAGTACCCTATAAACCTGTTTAAGCCTTTTTGAAGCAGTTTTATTCCTCCATATGTGTAAGTGTATACATAAAGCATACACATTAATAAAGGCCACTTTCAACTTTGAGGTTAAATATTTTTTGCTGTTAATTATTTCAGCTAATTAAGGTATTAAATTCTCAGGTCCACTCATGTCTGATTTTGCGGTGTCTACATATTACCCAGGCCACATAAGCTAAAGTTTGTGTAATATCTACCCTGTGATGCATTCAAAAACAAAAGTTTATGTTAGCCTAGCGCTTAATATTATGCTCAGTTTAAGCCTGTTTGAGGTAAAGTTTTATTCCTGCTCATGTAGTGTACGTGTACACTAAAGCTCACATATTAGTAAAGCCAATTATCAACTCCGAGGCTAAATTTTAAAGGTAACTGTCTATATGCGATCGAACAAAAGTTTGTTTTAGCCTAAAGCTTAAAATATAACGTTAGCCCAACACAAATTTATCACAAATTTATAACCTAAAACAACTGAAATGTTGATTAGCCTAACACTTACTAAGAAAAAACCAAAACAAGTGTTAGGACGTGCGTTCAAAGCCACTGGCCTGAACCTGCTGGAGTGAAACTGCTGGTGTAAAACAACGTCTCTGCAGACACATATTACTGGGGGGCATGGACTTTTTTCCAGTGTATTTGCACATTCCAGTGCCAATCACAGGTGATCTGTAGAAATGTGCAGATATACTATATCTCAATGGCTCATACATGCCCAACAATTCAGCGCTTGATGAGGTGCCTGATTAGAAGTCGCTTTATTTAAAAACAGATAAATATAACTTTAGAGTAACAATACTGGTTTGAAAATGTAGTAAATGTAGTAAAAAGAACAGAATTTTCCCTTGAAATGTAATACTATACTGGGGCAAAGTTGGATACACACAGTTCTTTAGAATGTCACTGTATGCTGTAGCACTAAGACTTCTCTTCACTGGAACCAAAGGGCCCAAACTATCAAAAACAGCCCCAGATCGTTATTCCTCCTCCATCAAACTTTACAGTTGGCACTAAGTATTCAGGCAGGACATGTTCTACTGACATTCATGTTGTTGCTCCCATACATTTCCACATAACAATAAGAGCCCATACAGCTGGTGCAGCTCTGGCAGGGCAGAAATTTGACTGGCAGAGGTACTGGATAGAGCTCTATCACTCCAGAGAATGCAGTTCCACTGCTCCACAGTCCAGTGCTGGGGGGCTTTATACCCCTCTAGCCCATGCTTGGAATTGGGCCTGGTGACCTAAGGCTCATAAGTGGCCGGTAATGTACTGCATGTCTGTTCAGTTTACACTAGACTAGACACCAACCAGAAGGTATTTCAGAATGTATTTTTAGATATTTCAAGTGTTTTAGAAAAATGGTTCCCGACCCTGGGAACAGTCTCTAATCTTCTGGGAAGGTTTTACAATAGATTGCTGTGAGGTTTTGATCAGCCGCAGAAACATTATTGGGGTCAGTTCTGGATTACGAACACTCCAGCTCACCTCAAAGGTACTGGATAGAGCTCTATCACTCCTGAGAATGCAGTTCCACTGCTCCACAGTCCAGTACTGGATGGGCTTTACAAATGTCCTGCACATATTTGTGTTTTCCTGCTAAAACACACCCACTTCAACTCACGAAAGGTTGGGAACCACTGTTCCAAAACAGGAACTGAGGTGGGAACCATTGTTTTAGAAGTAACAAGAGGTTATTAACTGTTATTGTCTGTTTATTTAATTACCTTCTAATAAGCATTCATATTGTTGCTCCCGTACATTTCTACATAGCAATAAGAGCCCATACAGCTGGGGCAGCTCTGGCAGGGCGGACATTTGTCTGACTTGTTGGAAAGGTTCCATCATATGACAGTGCCGCGTTGAAAATCACTGAGATGCCTATGGAGGCTGCAACTGTTAGCAAGTGTGGCTGAAATTCCTGAACCCACTGTGTACAGAAGGCAAGCTCACATGCTTTTGGCCATGTAGTGTACACAAAACTGTGCGCTAAGTTGTCTTGGTCAAGTGGTAGAAATATAGTACTGAAATACAGCAAAACATTCAGTAACAACCTTTATATAAATATGCAGCAATATCTTTGCAGCAGTGCTAAAGAAAGTACAAAACGCATTACGTCTACTGCTATGTAGCTTAACGCTCCTGGGAGCTGTGAGTGTAAGTAAGTGTGTTGTTAAAAGCTGTGAGTTAAGTGGAATTCAAGGAAGATTTGATTTAGTTGAACTGAGGCCCTGATAAGGAAGCTGTTTCTCAGTATGTGGTTGTGAATAACACCTGCCAAATAAGTCTTTAGAAAATTAAAAGAACTAAAAAATATTGGCCAAAGGAAGGGCAGATAGGTGCTAAAAGGGTTCATAACAGATGTTTTAAACAAAATGAGTAACACAAAAAGAGTGCTGGAATTTAACACATCGATCAAACTTCACTTCAGAACAAAGACCAAACTTTGGTTAAACTGAAAATACGCATACAAAATATATATTTATACAAAAAACAAATGCGAAATATTTGTATATTTATACTTATTACATGTTCAGATGTTTGGATTCACCTGTTCATCTAACATTAACGTTCATCTGTTTCTTCTGAAATCAAGCATAATAATAATGACAGTAACTCCTTTGCTGCAGTAACAGTCTCTAATATTCTGGGAAGGCTTTACAACAGATTGCTGTGAGGTTTTGATCTGCCACAAGAACATTATTGGGGTCAGTTCTGGATTACGAACACTCCAGCTCACCTCAAAGGTACTGGATAGAGCTCTATCACTCCTGAGAATGCAGTTCCACTGCTCCACAGTCCAGTACTGGGTGGGCTCTACACCCTTCTAGCCCATGCTTGGCACTGGGCCTGGTGACCTAAGGCTCATAAGTGGCTGCCAGTGTGCTGCATGTCTGTTCTGTGTACACTGAAGATACCAACCAGAAGGTATTTTTAGAGTGCTTTGGAAAAATGGTTGCCAACCCTTGCTCCCCTGCCCTCCATATACCTGTGTTCTCCTGCCAATACACACCCACTTCAACTCACGAAAGGACTCAAACTTGTATTACACTGATAACTTAAATGAGATAAAGGGGATATGACCGAAAAAGAGGCTTCAGTAAGTCATGTTATGTAATATTCCCAGGAGCAACCTCAGCCTCTGCAATGTTCTCGTTACAATATCCAGCAGACACTGGCCAAGTATGTCATTCTGACTGCTTGCACAGACTGATGTAATGTTTAAACCATTGAAACTCTTGCTGTAGAGACCTTAACGCCACTATTTTATGTGTATCTCGCAAACAGATAGCAAGTGGCGGTCCGGACTTTCACGCGGTAGGCGTGTCCTTAAAGTTTAACTTTCAGGCCATTACAACTGCGAAGATATGAAGGACAGCGGGGAAAGGTCCTGCAGCACTTCAGAATAATGAAGTAATTATCTATAGAGTTACCTACATTTATAATTGTGAATATCTGCGCACAGAACGTCCCTGAGTCTAACTTTTCTTCAGCGCCATGATCGGGATGACTGTCCTCCTAAACAGAGTCAACACCTGCTGGGACGCGTTAGTGTGTGTCGCCTTACTCAGCAGCATCTCATGTGTGGGTATGTAGCCCCAGCTGTTCACCAGTGCTGCTTGTTTTTCTCTAGTTCTGCCTTTTTTGGTCGATTTTGATGCTCAGATGTGTAGTTTTGTCTACTAAAGCCATATTTTACGGTTATGTAAGCGAGGTTTTCTCCCTATCCGCCAGCTCCTTGTTCGAATGTTCCCGTTCCACCTTAAATGGCGCGGCAGTTACTTTCGGGCGCCTGACGCCTGCAAGTAAAAGGTGCTGTAGTTATTTTCTGGAGCCTGATTTTTTCCGTTCCACCTTAAATGCTACTGCAGTTGCTTTCTGAGCCTGGATTTTTCTGTTCCACCTTAAATGCTACTGCAGTTACGTTCTGGAGCTTGAATTTTTCGTTCCACCTTAAATGGTTCACAAGTTACATTCTGGCGATGCATTTTCCAGTTCCACTTCACATGGTGCGGCAGTTGCATTTAAGGTGGAACGGGACAATTCGAACAAGACGCCCCAGCTTTGTGTAATGTAAGAGGTAAATCAGGCTGGGTCTCATGTCCAGAATACAGTCTGTACAGTCTGGACTGTTTTTCATTAAGAACATTTAGTAGTGGTGGTCAGCTGCAGATACACTGGACAGCGCAATCTGAGGAGAGTAAACAAATGAGCTGTCCAGCTAAGTATCATTTATATCCATGTTATTTGAGACCATGTATGTGTAGCTAAGGGTGTTCGGGAAAAGCTCAGTTTAAATGGCAGTTAATTTGTATAAGAATGAGCGATCCGTGCATGAATGCAATTGAGTGCAGGGTTAAAGGAGAATTCCATCGACTTTTCTAAATGTCTGTGCAGTTGAATGGTTAAGATGTAAACAAAGTCTTTCAGAGTGGTTTGGTGTGAAATGCTCTGTTCTAGAGAAACTTAAAAGAGCCAGAGTTGTTCACAGTGGTGGTGATGGGAACCAGATGTGTAAAAAAAAAAAACCTTCCTTCACAGGAATTATTACGTGGAATTGTTATGGCTATTTTGAGAATATTTTGGCCGCCAGTTATTGCTTGTTAAACGCAATTCATGGCAATAAGGCCAATAGTCCAGAAAAAAAACTTTTTTTTTATGATTTACAACTATTTTACCATCATCCATACATATAAAACTAAGAAGACACAAACTTGGCTGTATTTGTGTTGTAGACGCCTGGTTTCTTTCACAACCACTGTAAAGAAATCTGACTGGGTGTTTTTCTTAACAGTGAACCATTTCAAATCAGAGCACTCTGAATGACTTACCAGTATTGTACATCCCAGTAATTTAATTATGTAGAAATATTTATAAGTAATTTAATTTTGTAGAAATATTTAAAAATCAGTTGTATTTCCATTCAAGTTCCCCTCTTTGTTTTTTGGCTGCTCAGTTATGCGTAGTGTGAAGGCTTCAAGCGTTAAACAACTTCCAAACCGTCCAAGTTTGCCTTTACTGCAAACAGCTCAGAACAAATGTGCTGAAAGCTGCCAACAAAGAAAGAAGGAACTTAAAGGGAAATTACACTGATTTTTTTTTTTTTTTAATTTCTACCTAATTAAATTACTGGGATGTGCAAGTCATTCAGAATGGGTCGAAGGCTTCAAGCGTTTAACAACTGCTGAAACGCCTGCAAACAGCTCAGAATGAATGTGCCAAAAGCAGCACATTGTGTCCATAATTGGACACAGTTGTGTCCAGCGAATGGAGGGGAATTTCACAAATTGTTCAAAATTCCTGCTGAATTGAATTGTTGAGATGTAGACAAAGTCATTCAGAGTGGTGTGACGTGAAATGGTGCATAGAGAAGCTTACCAAGTTATATTTCTTTATAATGATGGTGATGGGAACCAGGGCTCTACGATGCCATTTACTATCTAAAATGACCAGTGAACCTACACAAGTCTTTGGGTTCCATTTTGCATTTGAATGCCCTGCATTCACCTCCCTCATGTGCCTCTCCTTCATGAATGGCTTAAAAAATGCATTTTAGGACAAAACCTCCTCTCAGAATTACTGTAGAACAGTGGCTGAGGCATCAAGCAGAGTATTCGCAACCCTTTCATGTAAAAGCTTTGTGTGAGGAGCTTTCAGAGGCATTAAAAGCACCAGACTTCTGGGGCCGTGTTACAGAAAAGTCTGAGAGCTGCTTTGTTGTCATGGCAACTTCAGTTAAGACTGAATTTAGGACAGAAGCCATTGCAGAACAACAGCTCTTAATCTATAATCTTATTATATTTCCATATAAGAAAACAGTATTACAGAAACATCCTAAGTTGCCAAAATATCCTAAATATTTTCTTAACTTTAAGATAAACCCCAGAGCGTCTTAACTTCTGTTTTAAACAGACAGCATAGTTAACTAGCTATAAGTAGCATAATGACCCCACATTTATCTACACTGAAAACAGTGCCTAGTTTTTCTAACAGCGTTTAAAAGCCCCAGACACTGGAGACACGATCTCCACCGTCCCCTCTTATTACCTTCGCGTGTTATTGTTGATGAAAACTCATCAGATAAAATATAACAGTGATGGTGATGAATAATGAGGAGACAGAGCTGAACTGTCTGTTTATTAGGAGGAATAACGTTTGGGAAATGAGACTTAAAGCTGGAGAGCGACGCTCTGATAAACAGCACGAAGCGCTGACAGAATATTGTTAACTTTCAGTTTATCGCGCTTAGTTTTATTTGACTTTCTTTACCTCAGTAACGGCAGCTAATGTTAGCTGTCTGGCTAACTGACTTGATTAGTGTTTACATTACAGCTGTGCGCGTATGGGTAGTTGCTAGGCAACAGACACAACAGTTGACTGTCGACTTCAATCGAGTAAGTTAAGGCAGAGAACTTGTAGAGAGGAGAATTACCACTCTGCAATGTCTTCTGGGTGACCCAAACGCTAGGTGGCGCTCCCGAGTGAGTCCAAAATGAATGGGCTGATATGAAGCGTTTGAGCCAAATCATAGTCAATAAATGCTTGAACAGTTTTAAACGTAAAAGGATACAATCATTTCCTGAACACTGAACAGCATAACACATTTTAACACTGCTGTTATATTTTAAAGAGCTTTTAAACTCGAGTTATAGGAGTTTAAAACGGCGCCTCATGTACGTCTATGACATCAGTGAGCGCGAACAGCCAATGAGCTGCGCCGCTCGCCAATCAATCATCACTCTCTAGCAGTAATGCCCGCCTCCTGCTGCCCAAAACCCGTTTGCTGTAGAAAAAAAAGGAAAAATATAGGTAAGATTTGTTTGTTTTTTTTAGTGAAATACATCCTTCTACCTTCTAAAATTAACAAAACGTTCTGGGCGAGTGATTAGAAACTATTTTAACTTTTCGTTTTTAGCAGTTGAGTGCCATTTTAACCCATTCATTGAGGACTCCCTCGCGGGCGCCCTCTGCTGTTTAGCAGTCCTTTTTTTGATATAACGGGGGGAATAGGAAGTGGCCAGGCTCCTCATAAACCGGCTCTGGTTAAGATTTCCTAACTTAAGATAAGAGAAGATGCCGTAAGATAAGATTCTTAACTTAAGATAAGTTTTGCTTCTGTAATACGAATTTGTGAAAAATCTTATCTTGACCTGTCGGATCTTAAGTTGAGACAAAAAGATAGGGATTTTCTGTAATACGGGCCCTGGTTCCTGTCACCTTCACTCAGGCCTTATGTTCAGTGACTTTCTACGCATTGTTTTCCCCGTGACTAGTGGGCAGAAAGGTATTCCTGCCTCATGGTAATGGTCTTTCAAGCATGAACAAAAGGCCAATAGAAGAGGGCTGGCATATAAATGTGCTGTACTCAGAGCAGCTTTGGCTGCTTTGTTCAGTGCTCACAGTCAGTGGGTTTATTTGCAGTTGTAATAGGTGGGTGGGATAGAAAAACAGACTTGCCATTTATCTGTGTAACATATGCACTCAGTTCTACTCCAGTATATTGGGAAATTATTTCAGTAGTAGATATATTTTTAGTACTTTAAGAAACTAAAGGCAGTTTGCTGAGAGCAATGGGCCAAAATTGAACCACAATACTGCACAATAATAATAATAATAATAATAATAATAATAATAATAATACATTATACTTATATAGCGCTTTTCAAGAACTCAAAGCCAACTATTTCTTTCTGGAGATGTCTCAAAGCTGTATTTGCCAACAATGGCTTTGCATCAAAGTGCTGTGTTAGTAATTTGTGGTGTCTGAATACTTTTTTAGTCCACCAAATATCGTTGGTTCTGTTCATAAATACATACTTTTTTGCTCAAGTATAAAGTCAAAAGACCATGTGTGAATTTGAGGTGGAAATAGGGGAGGCTGGGGATGGTTGCAACACGTTTTTTGCATTTCTCTCAGAGACTATTTGGACTAGACAAGCCAAATATATACATATTAAACTTACATCTGTCTGCTAGTTGCACATCCCATTTAAAGATGATTATATATGACATCTCATTTATAACATTTATTTGAGAGAAAGAAGTCAGATGTTGCAACTGATCCCAACCCTGGGGACAATAGCAACATGGATCAGGGACAGTTGCAACATGTTAAAAATACATAAAATTTCATTAATTAACTTTTGCTTTTTGTCTTGATAAGCATAGTGTTCTGAAAATATTGCTGCTGTCGGAAGAAAACCTTGTATCATTTTTCAGTTTTTGGCATAAGTTGAAAATGCTTATTGCCCTTTACATAGTTTGTAAATTTCATGAGGAATGGACCAAAAGAAATGACCCAGAATGACTTGGAAAAATGTCTGGTTCCATTGACTTACATTAAAAGTAAAGTATGTTTTTTCCTTCTCCTGTAAAGTTACCATTTTGGAGATATGAGATTTTCTTCCAACAACAGTGATATGCATTGTTTTCCAATATCATAGTATTATTTATTTGTATAATAGGATTATAGTGTAATTTACTTATTTAGTAATAATTACAGCTGCCCTGAATGTTCTGCCCTTGTCCCTGAATATATTTGAGACCTGTTCCAAAATATAACTCTGTTAACACAGTACAGTTTCTACTTTTAGATGATTTATTCACCCCCCCCCACCCCCCACCCCCCCCCCACCCCCACCCCACGCGTACACAAATGCAAACATGCTGTTTTGGGAATTACCTTGTTTATTATTAGTCTCTCGTGATCTTATGATATATTTGCCTGTTCCGTTCATCATAAGCAATAAAGTAGACAAACTGTGCCTATGTTGAACTAAAAATGTTGAAACTGTCGTGAACTTGTTGCAACCGTCCCCGTCCTATCACCCATGACAGAACATCATGTACTAGACATACTCACCCTGACACATGCAAACAATGTCACTTAGAAGTCAACAAAACAATAAGCGTGTTTACATGCACTTAATAATCCGATAACTGCAGAAAACCAGCAGTTGTCAGTAATCAACATGTTTACATGCACTTGAGAAATCAGGTAATGGGGAAACTCTGAGTCTACATGAGCCAGGCAAAAATCAGATTTCTGTTTTGCAATCGGCCAATAAACTCACAGAAGAAGACGTGACGTAAGAGTAATGTACTCAAACACAAACTTCATGCCGTTTTTATTTAAAAACATTGCGCCACTTTACCTGAAAACATGAACATACATCATCTAGAAGATGAAGAATTTTTAAATCCTTAATTTCCTCGAGAATGTAGTTGGTTGCTCTAAAAGTGAGAAATCTGAAAGAAATCAGAGTAAGAGTTAAAAGTTGAAATTAAACCTGTTCAGATGTTTGTGTGTTTGATTCTGATTAACTGCTCTGCTGAAACAAGTTTAGATAATAGAAACATATAAGAGAGAGCAAAAGTCGAGTGAATGGTGATGGAGTGACAGAAAGCTGAAATCAAACCTGTTCTGTAGTGTTTGGGACTGTAGTGTTTCGGATAAGCTAACGATAGCTTAGCTATTAGGTCAGACGGCACAGACCTGATTCCAGTGAATCGAGTAACTGTTGTTAAAGCGAAAGCCAAAATCAAATGTTTTCTGTGGTGAGTGTAGCTCTTAGAGGTATTTCTTGGCTCTGATTTTTCCCTTTTTTCAGTTCCCACAGCATTTAAAAAGTGAGCCTGTCAAAAATGGGGGGAAAGTGGTTATTTGAAGTAGAAATAGGAATGTGATGCCTGATAATATAAATATTTGAACAAATATATATATTTATAACCTCATGGCAAATGTCATATGCTGTAATGTACGGTTGGGCGGTGTATATATATATTTACCCTGTTCTTCAGTGGTCAGGACCCCCATGGACCCTCACAGAACAGGTACTATTTGGGTGGTGGATCATTCTCAGCACTGCAGTAACACTGAAGTGGTGGTGGTGTGTTAGTGTGTGTTGTGCTGGTGTGAGTGGATCAGACACAGCAGTGCTGCTGGAATATATATATATACCTTATACAACGATCAGGCATAATGTTATGCCTGATCGGTGTATAAGGTGTATATATATTGCCTTTATACCACCCAGCTGTACATTATAGCATATGCCATTTGCTATGCTATGTTTATGGCATGCTTATGTAGCAGGGTTCATGTAAAGGTGTTACTGACCATTTTTTGCTTCTCCTATGAAGTTACACTACTGTTATATTGTATTTTATTTTATTGCACTTTCATAATTTTTTTGCTATTTTTTGGTTCTGTTTTGTTGAGTCTTTGTTAAGAGTGAGAGAATAAGGCCTCTGTAATTTTTGAGGTGCTAGCTGGTGTCCATAGCAACCCAGCCTGGTCGGAAGCGTTCTAATGAACTTTCACAAAGGACAAAACCACAGAAACAGGCTGAGATATAACAGGAATGACTAGAAATAATGAGTGTGTTCTTTTAGGCTCCATTAAGGTGACCGCACCGGAAGGCCGCGTGACCGCAGTCCGAGGCCGCCCAGCTGTCTTGGGCTGTGAGTTCACCCCTCAGCCAGGCTCTGATCTTGCCAACCTGGTCGTTACCTGGCAACGGCAGGAGGACATCCGTGTGGTCCATAGCTACTATTACCTAGAGGACCAGTTGGAACGGCAGAGTGCGGAGTACCATAAACGGACGTCACTTTTCCACACGGAGCTGAGTAAAGGAAACGCGTCGCTTAGGATTGTGAATGTGGGACCAAGAGATGTGGGCCGATACCAGTGCATGGTGAGCACGTCCAGTGGCACAGACAAAGCAGAGATTCAGCTGGACTATGGAGGTATTCAAGACACTATTACCTCACACTGTTACACTATAGACACGATTATCTTATTATCACAAGATACTATTCTAAAACTTGGAGTCACTCGTCATATTCATTATTCTTGTTGTTTTATTCAATAATTATAATAAAATAATAATAATAAAAGCTTGGAATATTCTAAACTTCACACCAGAAGGTAGCCGATTTTTAGATATTTTATTCCAAGTTTTGAAAAAATAAAAGTTTTTAAATTATATCAGCTTCTTTTAAGTTATCTGCCTTGAGATTTGCATCACTTTCAAATGTGAGACATTTTTTTTTAGTATACCTTCATTCTGAATGTCATCTTTCTCAACTATTATGGAATTATCCTCTGATCATTATTTTGCACTAATGCTGCTGTTATCGATTATATTAGTAATCAAGCACTCTATTGATTATTTTTATGATTGTACAAACAGTTATTAAAAAAAACCCTGGACAGTGAACATCATAACTGTCAGAACAAATCCTTGTATTTCCAAAATGGTAACTTTACAGAGAGAGGGAAATGAAAGTGAAAGTATGTTTTCCCCAAGTAACACCACTTGGACCATTTCTATTTGTCCATTCATTGTGAACTTTTAACACAATGCAAAGGGTTTTGAGATGACAGCCCGGGAGGTCTGCTGCTGAGCCATTAGTTTTGAACTTCCTTGGATGCTCCTAATCGAGTCTCTAGGAAAGTTCAAGCTCTTTCTCTCTCTCTCAGCTTTTGTCACAGCTCCTCAGTCTTCACCATGGGTGCAGCACACCATGAACACATTCCTTGGTGTTTATTTAAATACATAACAGCTGAAGCAAATTAAGGGTCATTACTGAGTTCGCAAATCGTGTTTTGACCCAACTTTAGGTCATGCACCCTTGCAGTAGGTTTTAAAATATTATATAGGCAATTGTAACATCTTCTCTTGCCCTGCTTTGTCTTTCCTCATTTCCCTCTGTCTGCGTTTGTTTGTCTTCCCTCGTGTGTCTTGTTCCATGTGCTTTTGTTGTTGTTCTGGTCTTTGTCTCCTCCCTGGTCCTGGCTTTTTGTCATCTGTCTCATCTGTCTGTTGTCTGTAGTCCTGCACTCTCATTAGTCCCAGGTGTTTCTGGTTGATGCCATGTATATTCATACCCCTGGTTGTTTGCTTTGTGTTTGCTTGGTGTTTTGTGTTCTCAGGCAGTGTTTTATAATAATAATAATAAATAATAATAATTTTTTTATTTATATAGCACTTTTCATGCCAGTGGCAGCTCAAAGTGCTTTACAGACAGGTGATAAAGATTAACAGGAGTACAAGAAATTATAAGTATTAATTTAGAATCATATAAGAAAACGACACCGATCAAATTAAAAGATAAATACCACAAGACATAGAGTTTTAAATAAACACTAAGTTAAAGAGATACATTTTTAGATGCTTCTTAAAAGTGAGCACTGAGCTTGAACGTCTAAAAAAAGTGTAATTGAGGTCCACAGTTTAGAAGCAGAATAACCAATAGAGTCTCTTCATGTTTTCTGTATTTTACAGAAGGTATTTGCAGAAGGTCAGTATCTGCAGATCTAAGATCAGATGCTGGAACATAAACAGACAGACATAAGCAGTTCTTTAAGGTCATTTAGAGCCTTAAAAACTAGTAGCAGAATTTTAAAATCTATTCTGAATGATACAGGTAACCAGTGCAGTTCTTTTAAAACAAGAGTGATGTGATCTCTGTTTTTTGTTTTTGTTAGGATGCTGATGCATTTTGTATGTACCAGTACGAAGATCATTACAGTGATCAACTCTGATTGTAACAAATGCATTAACCAGTTTCTCTGCATCGCTCTGAGATAGAAAAGGCTGAACTTTAGCCATATTTCTCAAACGATGAAAAGCTACTTTAGCGACTGTGTTTACGTGATTTACGGGATTTGTTATCCCCCAGTTGTGTTCTAGTCCTTTTCGTGTTCTTTAGTCTTGTTTCCTCTCTGTTGTAGTATTTTGTTAGTGAGTGTTTTTATTACTTTGTGGATTCTTTCATCATGGCTTAAAAATAAAAGCCCTCTAGAGTCTCCCTCTGTGTTACAGCAGTATATAGATGTTGAATAATTGTGACATGACAGTATTAACAAAATATCCACTACTCTTATATACTATATCAGTTATTTTCTTTGTTAATTTGCTTTATCACTCAACTGATAAAGACTTAATTTAAAACAAAATATGGCTCTGCTGAAAAATTTAAAGTTATAAATCGTTACTTTCCCGGAGGGGGTTGATTATTTCCGATTTCAACTGTGTGTGTGTGTGTGTGTATGTATATATATATATATATATATATATATATATATATATGTATTAGGGGTATAACGGTACACAGACATCACAGTTCTGCTTTGGACATCACAGTCCGGTATGGTGGAAGAAAAACAAGTAAAGACCCAAAAGGCATAAGGCTAGATTCCCTTTCATTTATTTTGGAGCAGACAGTAGTACAAGTTACAGTGAACACACTCTGCTTTAGTAATGTTTTTGGTTAACTTGCTATCAGCTTATCATTCTCAGCCTGCAGTAACACTGACGTAGTGGTGGTGTGTTAGTGTGTGTTGTGCTGGTATGAGTGGATCAGACACAGCAGTGCTGCTGGAGTTTTTAAACACTGTGCCCACTCACTGTCCACTCTATTAAACACTCCTACATTGTCACTCCACCTTGTAGATGACGATAGCTCATCTGCTGCTGCACAGTTTCGGTTGGTCATCCTCTAGTCCTTCATCAGTGGTCACAGGATGCTGCCCACAGGACACTGTTGGCTGGATATTTTGGTTGGTGGACTATTCTCAGTCCAGCAGTTACACTGAGGTGTTTAAAAACTCCAGCACTCCACCACCACATCAGTGTTACTGCAGTGCTGAGAATGATCCACCACCCAAATAGTACCTGCTCTGTGAGGGTCCATGGGGGTCTTGACCACTGAAGAACAGGGTAAAAGGGGCTCTAACAAAGTATGCAGAGAAACAGATGGACTACAGTCTGTAACTGTAGAACTACAAAGGGCACCTATATAGTAAGTGGAGCTGATAAAATGCACAATGAGTGTAGAAACAAGGAGGTGATCATAATGTTATGCCTGATGGGTGTATATATGTGTTTATGTGTGTGTGTATTGTTTTCCACCAAAGCTAGTGGTTGTGTACATTTACTTCCAACACTGGGTTTATATACCTCTTACGGCAGGTCTACTTCTACACTTCCACATGGATATTTGAAGCTTGTATTAGTCATGCGACTGACGTATTTTGTACGCTGGTAATGTTACAGTGAATCACTCAGTACATATTTCATCTTAAAGCCTAACTCTGAATGTTACCAGAGAAGTCTGTTAGCCTCTTGAGCCTGTCTGCTGAGCTAGTCAACTTAGACCTAGTTAAACAAAACCTTTTATTTGCTATATGTGCAGTTGCATTGCAGGCAGACATGTATTCATGACATCTGGGGTTACTTTTTAGTGTGAAAAAAGAACCAAAAAAATCCTGGACAATGGACAACACAAAGCAATGTTCACAATGTACCATCATCAGCCTGCTAAATGAGGCACATGGATACTCAGATTATCATTCAAATTGCAAATTAGTTTCACTTTGAAGGTAGATTTTAATCAATTAAATCTAAAGCTTTGACAGTGAATTACTTTAATATCAGTTTTAAAGTAATCATGGCAGACATATTCAGGACAAATCTGCAATATCTGAAATGTGTAAATATCATAAATAACATCTAAAATATTTATTTTTATTAATAAACGATTTTAAAGTAATTGTGGCAGACCTATTCAGGACACATCTACAATATATTTCAATTTCCAACAAATGATTAGAGGCCCACTATGTTGTAGCAGACTAACATCATATTGCTGTAATTTTGTATATTTTGTACATCCATCTGTAGCAAATTTGATTTTATTTTACTAAAAATTGTGATTCCGCTCTTTTGAAAGGTAGCCTAATGCTGTTTGCCAATTCTTCTTCACTTGATATTTAAATTGCACAAATATTGCATTGTCATAATGGGAATAGAATATAATGACCATACATTTAGACGTTTTCTTGTATAGTTAATTACTGTTTATTCCTGTAATCCAGTGGTTCTCAGATCTAGTCCCAGGAGTCCTCTGGCCTGCACAGTTTCATGCACTTTCTACAACAACACACCTGATCCAACTTCATGTTTAGCTGATGAGTCAGATCAGGTGTGTTGGGGCGGAGAAAATGGAACTGTGTGGGAAGTTGGTGCCCCAGACTGGAGTTGAGACCCCTGGTTTCAACTCTCAGGAGTTTTATTCAACATTGTCTTATTTCTCTTTGAAGTGTTCTACACCGAGCCCAGGTTGAGCATCAGCTTCAGCGCCAAAAAGGTGTCGGTGCAGTACGAGGCCGAAGGTTTTCCCAAGCCGGAGGTCAGCTGGCTGGGAGAACAGGGCCAGAACCTCAGCCATCACACGGAGCTCTTAGAGGGTGTGGACGGAGAAATAGGACTCTATCATCTCAAGAGCAGCTATGAGGCCCCCACCCCTGCACTGAATATTACTTTTGTCCTAAAGAACAAACTTCTCCATCAGGACCTGCAGAGACCCGTCAGCTTCAGCTATGCTGGTGAGATCATTGGTACACGTGTAATTTAAACCTTTCAAAATCCAAATAGTCTCATGTCCACTTTGTAAGCTAGCTAGAGGCTGCTGGGGGAAAACGCCTAAATAAGGCTGGTCTACTTTCTCTGCCCAGCTGTCAGAATCAAAATCTGTTATAAAAATAGAACCATCACATGGGGTGAGTAATGAAAACCCCTCTGACGAAACTGTCACTGTTATGTGGGATCAGTAGACTTTCAGCAGGACGAGGCTGGGAGAATAACACGGGATGAATGCTGTTAGGGCAGAGAGACAAAAAAACTAGTTTGAAGCATCAAAAATACTAAGAAGTCAAGAAGAAAAAAAGGAAGGAGATGTAACTCATTGTGAGAGGATGATCTATTCTGTCAGCACTAACTTTGTCATTTACATACATCAGCCTTAAGGAACAGTAAAAAAAAGCCTGGGTAATTGTAAGTAATAATTAGGGAATGAAAAATGGTAAAAAATAAATGATTTCAGTATGAAACCTCACAAAGTGTAATAAGCAGACCTCTCTCTCTCTCTCACATACACACAAACAAGTGTGTCAGTCCCAAGCGAGGTATAAGTACTTCAGACAGGGTGAGGCATGGTGCCTTTTTTAGTTGAGCCTCAAACCACACATTATTATTTTAAGCATATTATTTAGTGCTGTGCCTTCCACCCAATAACAGCTGGGATAGGCTCCAGCACCCCACCGCAACCCAGAAGGGTAAGCGGTTTAGATGCGGTATGTATGTATTTAGTGCTGTTGTTTGCAGACAGAGTCACCCCCTGTGTGGGCATTGCACATAGGCATTGTTTTTCTATGCTATGGCAGGATTCGTGATGAAATAGTGGACCCATCATTTTTCAAATAAAGCTACAGTCAAATGCTAAATTTGAAGTGCCCCGGCATGTTTTGTTAGTGTTCTAAGTGAATATAATTTAGTGCCCAATTACTGTACAAACCTATAATGATGCCTATGCAAAAGTTATGGAGCATTTTAGATTTAATGTTTTTTTTTTTTTTCTCTAGGGAACAAAAAACAACCACAACAATAAAATCACAGGTTTCAACTATTCACCCTAGACCAGGGGTCGGCAACATGTGGCTCCGGAGCCACATGTGGCTCTTTTAGTGCCCTGTTGCGGCTCCACAGCAGAATTAGATTTTTATGTAAAAATAAAATAATCCTTCTTTGCAGTAAAATAAAGCTCTGCTGATCGTTCAACACAGTTTAAACAATAAATGTTCTCAAACACTGGAGTTAATGTAGCCTATATCTGCTAATTCTTTAACCCTAAAGATTGGCGTGCAGACTGCTGGTCACCATAGCAATGCAGACAACAGTCTCGCCTAGCTAGTAGCTAACGAAAAGGCAAAGAGAAAGATTTAAGACAAACATTGATCATTTGGAGACAAATGGCCTTATTTGCATTTATAATCACTCAGCTGGTTTGTTGATACGTTTAATCTGCAACACGAAACTGTCAAACACTAAAAAGTCATGAAGCTGAAGTCAGTTTCTCGATCGCCAGCTTCTTTTTCCCATTCCATCTTAAATTATGCAGCCATTACATTCTGCACCATTTAAGGTGGAACGGCAAAATTCAAACGAGAGGCTGGCGAATAAGAAGTTGACTTCAGCCTCGTAAAGTCGAACGTTGAGAGACATTTTACAAGAAACTATTCTACTTTTGAGGAAAAGTTTCCTGCCGGAGATGCAAGAAAAGCGGCTGTAGCTGAGCTAAAGCTTAAAGCAGAGCAAAGTAAGTCTGTGTTTTCGTTTATATTATGGTTTTAGCCTATACTAGTACATCAACACATGCTGAAACATATTTACAGCCAAGATGGTAAAATAGACAAAGTGTTGTGGCTCCCAAGGTGGTTTGATTTAGTTGAAAGGACAAAATGGCTCTTCTTAACATTTGAGTTGCCGACCCCTGCATTAGACGTTGATTCATAGTGCTGTAAAGGAAGGTTATTTAGCCAGTACAGGCCATGGTATGCTGTCAGTTGTTATAGTAACTAGGCAGTTGAATACAAGATCAGCAATCATGTACACTTTTTCAGTCGTGTTGGTTGTCATGTCTATAATAGCAATGTTTTGGGGACATAAAGCTTTCTAGCTGGCTGACCAAAGCCGTAACCAGGCCTCATCTACAATGAAATTCCGGCTATGCCTCAGCTTTATACCTATCTTTAAACTTATCTTTCAGGCTTTTTTGTATGTGGATGGGGTTGGTGAAGGGAAGAAGGCTTCAGTTTCATGGGAGGCTCCACTAAAACTATGCCTTTGCTGTTGTATGTTAGTGTAAGTCAAACATTATTATAGACTAATGAGTCCTCTCCCTCTATTTCATATCACAAGCATCAGCCCTCAAGACAAAATTCCAGGCCTCACTCTGAATAAACAGATTTATGCCACTGTGAATAGATTTAGGAGTTCAATAAACAAGGACATGCCGCAACTGGTATGCTGTCCCTTACTACTTTGAGTTTTTGGAGGAACAAAGAGGGGGTAATTGCAGGGTGGCAATCCATTACATGCACTATTGAGTTCCATCATGTGGCAAGAATCTGCTTAAACAACATGATGGAAACCCATGAGAAAGAACAACTCTAAAGAAAAGGGTCATGCAGGCTTATAGAGGAGAGTTAAAAACAGGACAATGGAGTTTTACAGATACGGTTTTCCCCAACAACAACAACAACAACAACTTGGCAGTTTTTTCTATCAGGTATATTTCATATTTTCATTTGGATGCCTCCCATCTAACCCAGTCATGTTCTCTACTAACTTGTAAATATAAATTAATTAAGTAATAAAGTAGATACAATAACTAGAAACTGCAGTGAGCATATGCCTGCTAAAAACATGTAGTCAGCAGGTTGCTTTCCTGTTTTTCCTTTAGAGCTGTATTTTACTTCCTCTTGACTTCAGATAATCTTGATAAAGCAAATATGTTAATTTACATCTCTTTGGGGGGAGCCCATTCATTCTGCTCATCACCTGGATCTGTGACACATGGAATGTTTTCATATGAGTACTGTGAATTAAGATGGTAATAAATTAGAAAACCTAAATAAAAGTTATTTGGACATAGTTTGAAGGGCCTCAGGCAAAACTGAACTTTTCTCACTTTTTCTTTAAATAAGCGTTTAATGTAATGTTAACAATGATAATGTTTCAAAACATACCATTTACTCCTATGTCCATACAGTCCATTTACAGAAATATATGTTTTCTAATTATATAGTGGTATGGAGGTACAAAGGGAGGTTGGAAAATGGTCATAATAAACTGTAGAAACAAAAATAAACTACACTGACCAAGGAGAAATATATATATATATATATATATATATATATATATATATATATATATATATGTGGCTTTTAAAGCAGCAATTCTTAAACCTGTCATCAGGCTGCCAGCCCACAGGCCCCTAGACGGAAAATTACTGAAAATGTAATTACACATGGTTCTGCAGGGGTTCTTTATTAAAGATGATGGTTCTATTTAAAACCATGAGTCCTATATAGGACCATTTCATACTTAAATGGTTCTTTGCATGATGAAGTGGTTCTTCAGATTGATGGAGAATGTGTTGCATATACAGAACCTTTTTGAACAATTTCACCATGCCAAGAACTATTTAAGCATGAAATGTGGTCCCACTTTATATTGTCTCTAATAACTGTGTAGTTACACATGAACAACATATGCACCAACAATGTAACCACGGATGATTTAGTCAATATTACAGATGGTTTACTGAAGTACATCCTATGTAATTACACGTGTGTCAAATTCAGTTTTGCCTAATGTAATTACACAAGTGTATCTTCTACAGAGGAACTTTCCTGTAGTGTAATGTTAAAGTCACACTTAAAAATAAGTGGACAGCTCCTGTGTAGTTAGTATGTAGGTACTGTGTATTAATGGAGGGAGTAATATAGACATTGCTTTGGTGGTGATGCAACACATTTAATTAATGTTATAAAAGTTACGTTATAAGATAAGGGGACATCTGCTGTACTGTCACATATACAGAATGGTTTGAAGCTGAAACTGGTTACAGTGTCACAGCACTAGCAACATAAATGCTAGCTAAATGTTAGGAAAGCTGGCAGATACAATGTAAGTAATGTCTTAATGTAAGTTAATACACACTAACTTTTACCGCTGGAAAAAAAAAAAACTTTCCAGTGTTCCAGTTATTACAATGTAATTACATTTATGTTATTACCATTGTGTAATTACAAGAGAGAGAATAGGCTGTTACAACTATTAAGATACACTTGTGTAATTACATAAGGTGTACTTCTGTAATCCATCTGTAAATGACTAAATCATTAGTAGTTACAGTATTGTTGCATATGTTGTTTACATGTAACTACACAGTTATTAGAGACACTTAACATAAAGTGGGACCTGAAATGTTACTATATAGAACTCATGGTTCTAAATAGAGCCTTTGCCTTTACTGAAGATCCCTTGAAGAACCATCTTTTGTAAGAGTGTAGAGTAAGTGTTTAGTTACTAAAATGTGCTTTTTGTCATCTATCGCAGTTACTATGTCGCAAAAGCAAATATGCATTTTTGTGCATAGTGTATTTACTTTTAGTGACCTTCAGTGCCAAACAGAAAAAAGTCCATGGCTGGTGTTGATTTTTAATCTAAGAACATGAATCTGTGGAATGCTGTGTTGTTGCAAATAACAGAAGGGGACAGGAAATTAAAGTCTGCACTGCTTTTACTTTAAAAAAATGTCTGCAAAAGAGATGCCTTACTGTTTATTGTGTTTATGCCTTCAGCAAGACACAGACCACATCTAACATTAAAAGTACTCCAGCTAGAATTGCTAATGTGGCTGTTGGGGCACTTAATATGCTCTTAAACCTACAAATGTTGAAAAGGATGGTTTGAAGTGATGCCATAGAAGATCCACATTTGGCTTTCTTACGAACTTTCAATAGCTGGTTCTTCGAAGAGAGAGAGCGAGACGTGTCAGCATGCACTTTTAAAGTTAAAAGAACCTCCACATAATGTAATGGTTCAATAGCATTTAAAGTTTTTAAAACTTTACAGCCAAACCAAGAATCTTTAATCCTTTATTTTTCTTTTAAGCACCATTAGCTTATTTTCTTTCTTTTAGGCGAAGCAGTGCTCTTAGAACTTGCTGTTCATGCAGTGAACTGATTCTCATACAGCAGCGTATTGTTGTCTACCGAAGGACACGCTGTACATTTTATCTGGCCTTGTCTTTTTTTTCTTATCTTGTCATGAGCCACAACACCAGTACAATAAGAGTCACGCTTTCCCAAATGAATTCACATTCTCAAACACCTGCTCTCAAGGTAATGGGGAAAAAAGTTAAGGCCTCCGTCCTCCGTCCTCTGTCCCGAGTAAAATGAACTATTATAAAATGACTAGTTCTTGTTCTAAAATCTGATTGGCTGAGCCATGTTTGAATCCATTATAAAACTCCTAAAATACATATAAGACTGCACACATGACACGAATTCTGTATTAATGTGACAAGTTGTTGAAAACCATTGTAGTCTTGGAACAATCTTTGACTGCAGAAAACTGAAAATAACAACTTATTTTCATACATGCTTATTTTATATTAAAACACAGGTGAATTTTAAGGCACATGAATTAACCTTCTTTCTTCTTTTCTTTCTTGTTCTAGATAATTCCTCTAATGGAGTGGTCATTGCGCTTGCACTCATTTGCGTTTTACTCTTCATCATTGTACTCATTCTGGCTTGGTTGTATTGGAAGAAGAGGATATGAACAGATGACTCATTCAGCTTCTATGAGTCTGATCAGAAAGAAGCACTAGGCTTTATAAGTTGATGGCACAGTGAAAAGCACAGTCTGGCATGTCTGTATTTGCCGTAGAAGATCAGAGGTGAGGGGGTTTACTGTAGGACATCTAAAACAGGCCCCAAAGACAGGAAGCACATTCTCTATTTTAAAGCACCATATCAGAAAGCAGTGCTTCCTCTGTAGCCCTAAAGAGATAAAGTGGTCATCATGTGATAAAGCAATATCTGGATAGCAATGAATCCCCTCCTCCTTCAGCCAAAATCACTGACATGCACATGAACACTGGAAATAATGCTAGTCGGTAAGCTAACTGAAACTGTATGTATGAATCTATGATGCTCGACAAAAACACCACCGTTTGGAATCGCTTGTCATACAGTCTTATGCAAAAGTTTGAAGACCTCCATAAATGAACATTCTATGTTGCATATGACTGTAGGAAGCTCAAAAAATACACAACTATTCAAAAGTGTGGAACCATTTGCCATATTAACAAATTAGTAATTTTATGTACATTTATAATGTATGTACAATGTATATTTAAATATTAAACACTAATTTAAATATTTATCCACTTGGAATATTTTAGATGTTTCATTTGAAATTGAAGGAATACAAGATGTGGACAAAATGGTACAAAATAAATTTCTGTAATTATCAAGAGCCACTCGTCCATTTAAGCAACAACTTAAGTACTGCTTAAAAAAAAAAAACATATATAGATGAATCCAGTCAGTTGTGTAATTTATTTCTAGTTGTACATTTGAAGATTTTAATTGGACAGCTGACCTCATTTTTAACTGCTGCTAAACAATGATTAGCCAACTGACTGCTTGCAAAATAATGATTTAGATGACTCTCAACCAGAGTTGAGATCATCAGTCTCCGAGCGCTGCTTTCTCCTCAGGACAAACCTGCTGTGAGAATGGCAGTGGCAGTACATCAGTCATTAGCATTAGGCTAATAGAGATGAAAACATGTTGCTGAGGTACATTTCATTCGTGCTAACCTGATTATCTGGTTCAGAAATGTTTTCCTGAACCTAAAAAACTGTAGAGGCCTACACTTAGTTCATTGTCGATAGGACAAGCTCTAAGGTAAGCTGAACTGTATTTGCTAACACTCATTTTAATGTGTCTCATGATAAAATAACACTACAGAACGATGTTAAGACCATTAGCGAGTGTAGCAACTCTAACCATGAAGGGAGGAAAGACGCCGGGGGCAGGGGTGAAGGCGGAGAGCTTCTTTTTATTAATTATTGACACAACGCAAAACACGCGGCTAACAGCCCACAAAAGTATTACAACATGCTCGCTGGTCACTTTTCAGGGGCTTCAGTCCTCTGTCTCAGCTCAGCTCTGCTCTCACACCTTCGCTGGTCTCCTTCTCTCTCCGGGCTCTGCCCGCTACTGAGGGAAGAGATGACAATAAGTAGGCTGGCAGAAACAAGGCACAGGTGAACAACATCAGCTACTTAGGCCCGCTGGTTCAGCCCGACCAGCTTCTCCGTCCCGCATTCAACGCTCGGCCACGCCCCCTTCTCCACAGCGAGCTAACTATATTAGCTTTTAATATTATAGCTGTTAAGTTATCTAGATAAATGGACTTAATCAGATGAAACAGGGCTGCATAAAATGTGTGCAAAGATAAATACTTTTCATATACAGCTCCCTAGTGTCATACAAATTATTGAAAAACCTCTGAAGTTGCACAGAACTACCAAATTAGTATCATTCTATATACTTGTCCACAACCAAATTGTATGGCGCTCCAGACTATTGTATATGCTCAACTATATGGCAAGTCTTGCAGAGCAATATGCATCTGAAGTCACAAATGTTGACAGCTTATTTATTAACACATTAAAAATATTTGCAAGACAAACTATTTCAGCTTTGCAAATGATACATACAGGCTAATCCACTTTAACCTTTTACAGAACTAACAAATGTTCCTGTTGGTACATTTTAAATCAGTTTTATCCTTCATACATTTTCTTTGCATTTAGCTTCATGGGGCTAGACATGATCTCATAGTGAGAAAACACACTCTGGGACAACTAGGGTACACCCCCTCTAAATCACGCCCCTCAAAAGAGAGTAACTAGTGAAAAAACATATCTTGGCTTATTAAGGTTAGCCAGCTGTTTACATCTATGGGCTGTCTATGGGCTAACAACATGGCTTTTTGTCTGTCGGATAATGTTGATGAGCTGTCGGATAATGTAATTGATTTAGAAATTTTACATTTGGTTTGTTCCTGATGAACATGTATCATAGTTGTCCATAGATAAACTCGTTATGAGGTCAGATGGCCCTGCAAGACCACTCTATGCTCAGCCCTGTGGAAGCAAGAAAGATTTTGGCATTAAGTCTGTTCTGAGTCTGCCTTTGTTATGGGTATTGATCTGAACCAGGCCTTAACTGTCTACCTCAGGAATTAACCAATGCTGCATTTACATAGTATTTCAGTAGCTATTAATCTGACTGGTTGGATTAGTTGTACCTAGTACGAGCAATGTTTGTAGCGTTTGTCAGTGATGAAAGATGCATTCTGTATTTTGCAGAACTGAGAGCTGTAATGATGTGACTGAGCTTTTTCATTTTTAACATGTTTAACATTTATTAATCCAGATTTGGTAATTGTAATAATATGTGAGTATTATTTTGGATTATTTGTACTTCTACTCAAGCATTATTGAAACTACAGAGTATAAAATTACTGAATTACAATTCTAAGAGGATAAACAAACTTTCTACTACTTATTTTCATTTAGATCTTTTTAATGTGTTGTCATGCTATAACAGTCTCAATTTTCTGTCATTTTTACTGTCATATTATTGTTACTGAATTGTTACTTTTTTGCAAAACATTTTTAGCTGCTACTTCTTCATAAAGTTCTTTATAAATAAAGCCTGCCATCACTGTTACTATTAAACTGTGTATAGACTTTTTCCTGTCTCATGTTACCTTGTGATCTGCAGTGATTTGTTGTAAATGGTTGATGGAATTTGTCAGCACAGGCACTTTGTTTGAATTACTGTTTACAGAGTATCATTATGCTAGACTGCTTCCCTTCTGTTTTTCCCTTGAGTTTCTGTTTTAGCTTTCTGGCATTAATGGTTAAAACAGTGGAGCCACAGACCAGTGAATTCACAGATGGCAGACACGTGTTATACTGCGTTCAGGTGTTGGTGTTGAAAATAGTCATTCTGTGCCTCATATCGGTATGCAACTGACAGAAGCTGACAGCCATGGAAACGCTGCCATAGTGACAGCAATTCTGGTGACAATTGACAATTATCAGAGAGCTTTAGCAATGCTGGTTCCTTATTTATAGTGGTATTAAAGCAGGACAATGTTCTGTGCTCTTTTCTGTATAATACTGGGTGATCTTGGACAACAGTAAGTGCGTCTACATGCACTTAATAATCCGATAACTGCAGAAAATCAGATTTTCTCAAGAATCCAATCAACGTGTTTATGTATCAGATAATGGGGAAACTCTTGGTCTACAAGAGTCAGGCATTAATTGGAATTCTGCCACGTCTTTTTTTTTAAAACGTGCCACTTTAGCTGAAAATATGGACAAACATCATCTAGAAGATGAAAAAAATATTTAAATCCTTCATTTCGTTAAGCAGACTGGGAAAGCGAAACCGAAAGAAATCAGAGTAAGAGTTCATATACACTGAGAAATCTGATTACTGAGCTAAAATTCAGCTCTCTTTATTGGATTTCTAGACCTTACTCCGATCTAAGATATCGGAGTATGCTGTTTACATGACCATTTGAATAAAATAATTTAAATAAATTAATTAAAAAAACTGAATAAAAAATACTTATAAAAATTTCATTTGAATGCAATGATCAGATAACTGCAGAAATCCGATTATGATCGGATCAATGAGTGCATGGAAATGCACTCAATGAAACTCAGCATTCATGGCTCCCAAAAAGTCAACTTTTGGCTTAGTCCACCTCTGCAGCCTTCCTAAAAGGTGGGAAAATTAAACAGGGATATTCCATGTTTACATTAAAGCCATGACAGAAAGGTCTAACACCACCTGCTGGGGTGAAATAATACAGATGTTTCATATCTACTGACCACCCGTGAGTCTGACCACATGTGACATCAATGGGGCTATACTATCACATGACTCACTGCAAACTTCCTGACCAGCTATGGTGTGGCAGCTGCATCCACCACAGGATGAGGTACAGTATGGCAGCACAGGTGGATTCAGGGCAAGTGGTCAGTGGATATGGCTCAGGAACATACCAACCACCTCAAGCTGCATGTGGTGAAACTCATCTTAGAGTATTTCCTTCCAAACCTCCAGGGCAGACATGTACTTGTGCATTCGGACAATCGAGCTACTGTTTACCATGTGACTCGTTATGGTGTTACCAGACCTCTGATGCTGTTGAGTCTGATTCATGATCTATGGGCATGGGCACACCCCAAGTTACTGTCATTAAGATCTAATGGGTCTGACCAGCCCGACAGCTGACTCTTGTGGCACATGCTTAGCCCGGTTCAATGGAGACTTCACCAAGATATGATCAGTATGAATTGGAGCAGATACTGGCAGGCACACATGAACCTGTTCACCTCGTCAGACATGACTCACACAGGAAGCGGAAAAAGGAGTCGGGCCTCCCATAGCTAGCCGAGGGAGCTGCTGTATGCGTTCCCCCACTGCTGGTCATTTTCATTTAGCCCCACCTATTGACGACGAAGTGTTTCTGCGAAGGGCAGTGAAACTGTAAAAAAAACGAGACTAAACACTCAACACGAGATAGCAAAACATGCTTTGAAAACAATGGAACATATTGACAAACCACACAAACATGGGCAGCAAAACATCAACACTGACCAGAGAACAATGGAGACAAGGGGGTAAAGAAACACAAACAAATGACCAGAAACACCTGAAAACAGTAAAAGAAGGTGGGGCAATAAACTAAACATGTCAGTAACGGTGACGGGGCTGGACAAGGGAGAAGACAAAATCCACACCAAAAATAAAGACACATGGCCAAAGAAAAGAACAGCACATGATACAGAAAAGTCTAGACAGCGGCAGGAGGGGAAAGAGGAACTAGGGAGTCCCAGACAAGTACATGAGACCAAACAAAAGTGGACTTCAAGGGAAGAAAATACAATGCAAGAAGAATGCAGCACACAGGCCTTTTAAATGAGAAATGAACACACCTAAAGCTTTCCTCATAATCACCCATTTTCACCAGTAACACTGTCATCACCGCAAGGTTTCTATTTCTGTATGCCACTGTCAGCTGCGTAGCGCTATCAGGAGGGTACAATGGTACTTTCATGAGCAATATGTGTTGTTGCTGGCAGTGGAAGAGTTTCTACTATTGCAACTTTGAAAACAATGGAATGCCTGGATTCCCATCTTCTGTCTCCTGCCAGCAGGACTCTAATCTTGGGCTGTTTGGTTCCAGAAATTTTTGATAGAGTCCAATTCTGATTCCAAGTGATGGGAATCAATGCCAGTTGCCAGTCAGGAGTTGATTTCATACCCAAGTTAGCATAGACTCAGCTATGCAAGGTACCTGTCTTCTTAACTTCAAAGAAAGTTTGCTGTAGTAGGATGTCAGGGTTACAGCTCAGACTGTGTTAAGCCCCCTCTAGCATTCTCTAAGATTCTAAGAGGGGGTGTGGCTAAAATTGAAAACTTAAATGGATGGAACAGATGTAAGTTTTTAACAATAGGAATGATTATTTTAAACTTTATTACATCATCATTGACAACAATTCACTTCTAACAGTCTAGCCTAACCTAAAGGGTACATTGAAAAATAAAAGGCAGAGACAGTACAGATGAGATTACATCAAAATGCTAACTAGATATTAGCCTAACTTATTGCCCCTTTGCAAAAATGCAGAACAGGTTTGTTAGCAGCCATACGGTGTGTTTTCATGTCACATTTTCTTCACTGGAAGGGCATCTGTTAGGAATTTCCCCACATTTTCACGCACACAGGGACACCCTCTACAGCACAGCATCACATTTTATCCAGGGGAGGGGCAGTTCTCCATTAGAAAAACACTTCACTGGGCACTTCCTCATGTTTTCTCACCTGCAGGAGTAGCCTACACAGCACTGCATCTCATGTTCCATTGGAAAGGCACCCATAGGAAAGTTAGCACAACTTTAATATGGAACACCGATTATATATATATATATATATATTTATATTATATATAAAGGCACATCTGAGCCTCACCATTCATGGCACCCAATGAACCAACTTATGGCTTAGTCCCTCTCTGCAGTCTTCCCAAAAGTTGGGAAAATTCAACCAGATATTCCACTGTTTTCAATGGAGCCATGACATAAAATTCTCCCACCGCCAGCAGTTCAGTCAAAGGGTCGATTTTCCCAACTTTTGCCATCGACTGCAGTCGTGAAATAAAATGGATGCTGATTTTATTGCGAGCCACATATTATACAATAAAAATAAAAGAGTGTCCTCCTGACATTTTTTTTTTTCATAAAAGCTTTCCAAATACTGGAAACCCATTTTTTCCTTGCTTTTTTGGATCAAACAGTTTGATACAGCATGTAAACACTGTTTCAAAACAAACCGTTCACTTCCCACTTCATACAGTCCATAAATGAGCACTAAGCTGCAAAACTGACCTGTATTGAAATCCTTGTTCTTACGCTGTCTACAGCAGTTTAGCCTCAACCATTGACACTGACTATGAGGATTATTTCAGCCTGGACTGCTTTTTGATTGAGGCACAATACAGAGGCACATTCAAACTGGCTCCTTCAGATTTCCTCTCATACATTTTCAAATATAAAATATAGTTTATACTATGGCTCAGCTGGAAACTTGATGGTTATTATTTACTGAGAGATGTGGATCTATTTGCCCAGTGTGCCCAGCTAATCAACATTTTAAACTCAATATTTAATCAATAATGAATGTCAATCTATTGCTTTCCATTGTGCATTCATCCAGAGTTGTAACTAAGGCCCAATCCCATTTCTCATTTTTACCCCCACCCTTTCGAGTGTCACTTTGCACCTTGGAACTGAGTTACAAGGCGTAGTTGTTGAAATCCTCTCTACAAAATGGGAGCCTCAAATAAACAAGAACATTACTTCATTAACAGGCTACTAGCGCTGCTCTGTACGTGACCCTGCCAGTCTGCAGTGATAGCAGAGGAGGGTAAAGTTCAGTAACCTCACTGCTGGGCTTTGGTTACATTTAGGGCATCATATGCTTTCAAAGGGGGGGGGGTGACAATTATTTATTGCCCACTCTTAATTCTTCAGTGATATGAAGCTGAAGTCAGCTATTTGCCAGCTTCTCATATGAATTGTCCTGTTACACCTTAAAATTGTGCAGCGGTTACAGTCTGGCGCCTCAAGCGTCAATACTGCTGGACTATTTAAGGTGAAATGGGAAATTTAGCTAGCTAGCTACCAAAACATTAGCATACTGTTACAGATTTTTCATACTTGTTATGAAGAAAAGGGCCATAAGACATTGAAATAACATTAAACTAAGAGAATATAGTGGTTAACGTCATTTTAACTGAGAAAATACTGTTTGAGTGTGCCTTTGAAAAACCTCAGTTTGGAGGGCCATGTAGCCCTGACACTTAGCCTAAGGACTAAGTGGATATGGCAAGGAGTGAAATGGGATTGGGCCTAAACTTTGAATGAGAGACTAGATAATCATCTTGTTCTAAAATGATGTGCGTCTATGAGAAGTGTGTGCCATCACATCCATTTATTGTCTGGACTGGACTCCACAGGCTGCTGCTGCAAAGCGCGAGTCGCATTACCTGCACCACACTCTGGACATGTGCGTCATTAAGGCGCCTGCACATTCTCACACATACCCACTATCAACTGCATGAGACAGTCCTCAGCTGGACTGACCCCC